ATCCACAATGGGAAACACACGGAATCTTCCGAAGTGAAAACTGGAGTAAGATAAGCCGGCTGCCTGCTATCTCCAATGATTTTCGTGATTCCGGTTGACTGGATAGTGTGACAGACAGCAGGCAGGTCAACATGGAGACAGGCATAAAATGCACACGCACAAAAACTTGGAGGATCTGTACTTAGCCGATGATATATATCTGATTTCCCACAAACTGGAAGATATGCAAGTGAAAAGCGATAATTCGGTAGAAGAAGCATCAAAGACGGAGCTTTGTACCACCCTATATTGAGTCTAACTGAAGACTTATGAAACGAATTCATGTATGCACGTTACACCATTGCAGAAACTAATTTCACGTGTGCTTGTGGAATATTTCCCATTGTATCACTGAATGTAGCCTTTCTTTGTTGCATTTGTATTTTTACGCGGTTATACAGCTTTCCTTGGTTTTCGCGTTTCTGAATTTCGATTTCGTCAACAGAATACCTTTCCGGGTTTTCACTTGTAACTCTCAATACAACAAGACTCAAGTGTCTTCACAACTTTCGAAAGTGTTGAAGTTGGTTGACTATCCAAATCCGAACTAAGGGCGAAGTATGCCGATAACTGTTTGTTAAACATTGGACAGGGTTTCAAGATGGCTTCAACTGTTCAACCATCATTGCCATCTTATGCTGTTGTCTGTAAATCTAAGTGTATATCCATCCATTTTCTCAAAATCAATAGCGTTGAGATTGTAATCGACTCTGTCATATGTCTTACGAAAGGATTCTTCGAATCACTGAGGGTAAGGCATTAGGTCAAATTTCAGTTAACTGACCTTTACATCAAGTTGGCTTGTTTTTCGGTGTGTAGCACATTCACAGAAGAGAGATTCGATTTGATTCTCGTTCATGACTGAGATTTACTGAAGCGTGTGAAACATTGAAATTGTTGAGGAGGTCGTCCAGGTAGAAACGTTTTCATTTCACGTCATTTGTAGAGGTGCAGTTGATTGATCAAACTATTGTGGACGATGTTTTCAAGACTCCGGATGACACAATGAGTTGAGAGTGGGCAAGATGAATGAGAGGATGCTTATGAAGAGGAAAGACACTTCTGGAGAGAGCATTCTCCTTCCAACATATTGCAATTTTTCACTGATTTGATGAAATCAAACGTAAGTTTAAGAAAAGTTGGGTGGATGCTGAGGTGTTTTGTACTCAGGACGCCCTTGTTTGTCAAATCTTCACCTGACCGATTAAATTGTGATGACACAAAGTCTATCTCGGGCATGAAAGAAATCGCAATGAAAATCAAATAAATTTGAGGGCATTTGTCTGTGTTGATAAGTTAGGGAGTCGTATGACGAATACATCGATATGAATGAGAACAATAAATGGTGGTCGGAATTTCATCCAGCTATAAACATTGTATCACTTTGACTCAAATCACACAAAATTATGTAATGCGTAACCTCATGCCATCAATGTGACGGAATTCTAATCTTGCATTTGTTTTCCTGTTTTATACTGATCGAAACTTCACTTGTTGAAAACACCAGAAGATAATATATTTTGTCTAAATGTTTAGCTGTAAGCCTCAATCGAATTCTACAATGACTAATCGAAACCGGTGATTTGATGGGTGCGTTTTAGCACTAGATGATCGGCATTATCTAACATTAATGAATAAATGACAATTCAGTAAACAGAACAAGTGGCAAATATTTCCCTACATCTTCTAGCCTAGAACTTCATCGTCATCATTAGAAATTGTATGCTGACCTACAGTGTCTAGGTTGACTGTCTGTAAAGATGTAAGCTGCTCAGCCACCCAGACTGTCTGAAACACCATAATGTTACGTTCCGTGATTCGATCACTAATTCTAAGTAGCTGAGCACACAGAATGTGAAATTATAACTGATCGTGCAATATATTCCGTACTACTCGCGACCCGAATGTTGTTCGGACTCGGCTTACCAACTTCACTGCACTCCACTCCAGGTCAGTATCATATATTCGACTTGGAGGATAGTAAACATTAACTGTAGTATCGTCATATCAGTTTGCCTGTCAATACACACTAGAAGGTGCAGTTTATTCGAAGTATTGTTCGACGAAAGATGAATCGCAATCGTTATCCCATAAGAACTGATGATTTCTACAAATCACCAGTGGAATATATCACCATTATCCTGAATCATTGAAGCCAGTTAATGTGTGCACGACTGAGAAATGTTTGCAAGTTTCCTACTAGACAGGGCTCATTTGTCAGCCACTTTTGGTACTACCACATGTCAGTTAGACAGGAAATTGAGATTTTAAGTAAACTCCTGTCTGGAGATCAGGAGCCAGAAACAAATACAAACAAACCTTCCAACCAGCCTCAAAAATAATGGATATAACCTGGATTCTTGAGACCGACAGGGAACTCATTTAATCTCAGTATTCTAGATAATATTCATCACCGTACAACAGCCAGGATAGATGGTGAACACCGATGGTTTTCAGTGAATGAATAAGAATGGTTTTATAAAACTCATTCAACAGGGATGCTTTGAAAGCATGAGATTCGCACACATTGAATCCACACCTTGGATCCATGCAAATTGTATCTGAATGTACGAAGCACTTTGTGTGAAAATATAATTCACAGTGTTGCAGTCACTATGCTCCTCAGTAAGAATTTGGTAGTGAGTGTTTGCTGAATAAGTTGCTTGTTATTGAGCTGCTTATAAACCGTCTGTGTTATTTCTCGTGCTACTAACAGTGCTGTGGCTGATACTGACGCTGCTACTGTCAAATTGCATGAGACAATTTGAGGAATTGAAACATTTCATTCCATCATTTTTACCACACATTCTGGTGATACACAGAAATATCTGCCAACAACCATTTTATGTCCAATAACCTCCCTAATGAATCTTCATTCTACCAAACGATCTACAGGGTATATTGACGTTTCAGGTCACCTGAGAATAAGTTTATTTGATTGATGTGAGTGAGTAAGGGATATTGCTGGTAACACGCAGTAGGGCTTGTTTACTTACTAATCGGATCGAAGTAATATAAACAAGGGGTAGTCGTTTTGTTCACCTCGTTCTGAACTCATCACAATGTGTGGCGATGTTCTACTCAGCTCGGAGAGGCAAAACAGTTGGAACCACTCGATTTGTGGCTAGATACTCGGGCCAACTGATAATAAACTGTGAATAAAATTTGCCACCTGCAATTGACAAGGTCGGACCTCAAATTTCACTACAAACTACACTGAAAACAGAAATTATTCGGAAAGCAATGTGAGTTTGCCTGAAACTACCCATGACAACAATCTGGAAGGTAAGTATAAATGCGTGATGATACATGACACTGGATGGTGAGTGTGTCACAGTGTAAAGTATCGTGGAATGTTCCCTACGAAAGTGAACTGCAGTGGAATTTGAAGTTGAATTCTGTTAAATGCAGATGGAAAATTTTATTCACACTTTGTTGGCTGTAATCAGACGATGAGAAGCAAAGGTTATAAATGATGGTGTCATTTTATTCTGCAAAAGCTGTTGTTCTTGCTTTATTCAAATTCTTAAAGAGGAATAAATGTCTACACTTAGTTACATTTACTTGGCCCTCATTTGACTCCTCGATCTGCGTAGAACATCGCCACACATTGTGATTATTTCAGAACTAAATGAACAAAACGACTACCCATTGTTTGCCTCGCATTGATCTGGTTAGCAAGCAAGAACTACAGCGTGATATCCTATTTTAAATGGGGGAGACTCTTTTCAGGCGGCTTTCTCTTAAGCTTTGCATTATTATGTACATATGGTTTCCGAGAAACTTTGTCTCCTGAGGGATCTCAATCAGTGGTGTGAACAGTTAAAATGATATTTGTGAAATGCAAAACAATGTTTGTGATGATAAATGGGTGGCGTAATGTATGCCAGTTCATAGAATTTTTAGATGTTAGAAAGTAATGTAAAACCAATAGGACTAATAGGTTTAGTAGGCAACTGAAATATTACTTAACATGTCGAGAATTTCGATAAGGTAAATTTTAACATTAAAGAATAAAAAGAAGCGGATGAAGAGATCAGAATTTATTCACAAGCTGACATCAGTGATGGAAGCTTTGGAAGACTTTGTAGTACGTGACAGGTCTTATATAAAAGTTCACCACTGCTAAGCAATACTCAGACTGCACCCAAATAACAAACCTCAATTTTCCCTATCATCTGACATCAATCAATCGATCTTGTCATATTTATATATACTAATCTTTAACATTTACGTATCCAAGATTAACAAAGGCTTCCTTCTGAATGCGTAAATTCGGCCTTAGTCGTTCAATGCCAATCGCTACATTGATAAGGAACAAAGTAGCAAAATTGGTTGTCAATGTGGTAGATCAGTGGTTCACTTGTTTTAGATTGTCACATGATCATGGGCTGATGGCCTATTCATATCGTTATCATTTCAGAGAAATATACAGAGATTCCACTGCAACGAAACTGAAGTTCACCGTTCAAGACAGTGGACTCATCCACCAATCCATTGTCTATGGGTAACATTCTAAAAGTCTAGTGCTATGCATATTTGAGTTAAACATGAGGAAGGTGTAACTGAAAGCTATACTGTTCACTCATATAACGTGTTTCAGTTATAACTGAGGAATTGACAACTTCACAGATCATTTCTCAGTCTTGTGAAGGTGTGCAAGTGTAATTCCATATGGCCATGAATGGTATTCATTAGGCATTGAAGACGTCGACCTACTCATACTGTCAGCTAAACATTAAATTCACACTAAAATTCTAAAATGGATCTACGCCTTTGGAAATTAGCCATTTAGCCAACTGGAAAGCAAATGATTTTCAAGCCGATTCGTACATATACAAATTTATTCAACAAGACAATTACTCCTCGTTAGACTTGATAATCGTTGGATTTGATCGACTGACACTTGAGTCACGTGATTTCCCATTATAAATAAACAACAAACCAGTCACATTTAATAATTCACACTCACTACGATATGTTTTGTTAATTAATTAGTTAATTAATTAAAGCCTACTCATCACTGTATTCATGCTATCCAACTTTACACTGAGAAGAACACAAAGTGCAGAATACACGGATAATTATAACAAAAATGACTCAGTGATACAATTTGCACAACCGGATAGTATTATTGCTACAGATATACCAGGAGATGCGATAACAAAAGTCAGACATAGAGGCATCAAGCCAGCGTCTGTTGAGATTAGAGTTAAGTTTACCTGGTTTAAATGTCGGTGATAGGCTGAAGACATGTGAATTCAATAATAACCATGCACACTCATACATTAAATGCTCATGTAATTTAGCGTCTTGTTGGGGTAGCAGCAGTAACCATATCTCAGGAAGAAACTTCAATCGTAATTCTAAATCTGAAGTTGACGGAAGCATTATGATACCGTTAGAAAATTTAAATAAAAACGACAATGAACAATGGATTAAGACAGACGATAAAAAGCAGCCTGAAAATGGTGAAATATGGTTTCGGACAACTTCCTCTCGGTTTCAAATTAGTGTTATTTTAAGAAGAAATAAATGTGACAGTCGTCGTGGTCAACACCACGAAGGCGAGAAACATAAGGCCTTATTCAACACTGAACATGTATCAAAATGTTCAGTTTACTTGACGTCAGACTTTGTCTCTTCATCATCATCCTCATCCTCATCGTCATCATCAACTACAACACTGTCTTCGGAACACCACTGAATAGTTGTCATTACTAGTATTATTGGGATTCGGGTGAATTAAAACATCCCATTACTATTAGAGGAAGTTTTCTATTGCTGAGTAATGATACTCTGAGAATTTATCTGAGTATATTCGGAGCAAAGCAGTGTAAACCAGTATGGTCTAGAGATGATTTGTTGGAGCTGGAACAAACTTGTCAATACAAACTGATCAAAAGAGACCAGAGCGCATTGAATTTCAACAAGGAAAGAGCACACAGTTTTGACAATATTCGAGAATTTAACAAACGACATTTTGATGAAGCGTTGACAGTGTCAGAATCAAAAAGTGATCACGTGAGAGGTTGGTTAATTAGCGCGTTATCAATCAAGTGATAGTTTTCCACTTAGTTTACCTGCAGATTTTCACATAAACATAAATTGTGAAGCAGTTCAGACAACCATCGCTTCCGATTTGTGATTTAACAAATTTACACATATGGCATAGACTTTTGCTTTGTAATACTCTAGAAATAATAATATTCATACTTTGATTATAAATTAATATCTCCTAAGTTAATTGTGGAGATTGCTAATCAAAGGCACTTGCTCTTTCTGCTTTCACTCAACCTTATCAAAATACCTTCACAAAATAAGTGAGGAGTACACTCTACGTCTTCTAACGTAAATCTACCATTGGTCATCTCTTAGAAACACAGACATTCGGATGAATGTGTACTACATGATCGGTGTTTATTTTATTACTTTTCTCGTCTTTCATGATCTACATTTTAATTCCATTTATGCTGTTTACGAATGGAGCCATGAAATGTTAGTTTTTTCACTGCAGTATGTCAGTGGTCAACTTGTTTTAGATTGTCAGTAAATGGTAATTGTCTGATGGTGCTGTGCTATGATCATTTCAGAGGAATGTACAGGAATTCCAATGCTAGGAAAGTGAAGTTTATCAGATAAACGTCTTCCTTGAAGCTGTTGAAATTGTTTGGATGCGTCAAAACAATATATATGTATATACATTTATATCTGGTGAGATAACCGAAAGCCTGAGGTGTCTTTTGCTATCAAACACCACACAGAAATATCAGCTTTCGGAGCTTCGAAATTCTTCACCTCCGATGGTGAGAATGACAACATATAATATTCCATTGTTGGTCAACATTAACAAACACTTGACATTCGAAAAGACATTTCGCCGACAAACTGACTTCTTGGTGTCCGGTGGTGAGAAAATAATGCTGTTCCCAAATATTTAATTACCCGGAGATTGATGACAACAAGTTCTACCATGAACATTATTGCAAGTTGTTGGAAAATATCTTACGCAGTAACTCTACGAATTCCGTCGACCAGGTGAACATGTATACAGATAAATTCACAGTTCCGAAAATGTGCCTCACTTCCCCATACAAGTTTAGACATAATCTTCTGATAGTGTTGGGAAACATCTGCTTCGGTTATTCAGAAATGGAGACTGAATTCGCATATTTCCATTGAAAGAAAATCGTCAGTGGTTGGTATGCATAGTGTTTCAGAGCGGTTGACGACTACTCACACAATTCCCATCGCCTTACAATCGCTATATCTCACCATATATACAACACGCTCGCTTGCTTTTCACACGAGATTGTGGCACATATGGCGCAGGTGACATTTATTACTGCTTTATTGAATTGTATAGAATTAACAGTTGCTGTATACCAGCTAATGTTCTAAGTCTATAATCTTGAAATAGTCTCAGTGACTGTGTCGTTTTATCGAGTTAAATTGGCATCTGTTTTGTGAACACGTTGTTCAAGGTTCTGTAGGCATTCACTTCTCCATAATATGAGATTGATCCCTGCCAATCAGCCCATGCGTGTAGATAGAGAGATAGTTCACACAAACAGTTTCACAGAAGTTTACCAATTCATGGTTGGTAGTTTTAGCCAGCTATCTTGAGTGATTTCCGGTAAATTTGAAATGTCTAACTATTTCTCGTTTTAGTTCCAATTCCAAAAACCGAGGTGGTCAACAGTTTCATATTGTTCTGGAACGATTTCCAGGTCAGTCACTGGTAGTTACATTAGGGAAAGCAGGGATTAATCCAACTCATGTTAAGTTATTGACGATTACTTGAATACTTACTAATATTAACACTTGAATATTAGCGAATAGTGGGATAATCTTCTAGCCTTTCTCTAGGTAGTCAACAAATATGAGGCTGCTTAAGGAATTTTGTATAATGACTTTGGACCCGTTTGTGATAGACGCCTTTTATACCTATGTTATTTACCATACTTTACATTCAGAGTACCCTGTTTCCCTTATCAAATGGACGGTTGCAATTTATTGGGTGTTATGATGTAGAAATCGACTTGACCCTGCAGTGTAACACCCTCTCACAGGATTCTACTTCTTCAATTTTTACTTCGCTTTGAAATAGGTGAATTTATTGCTATCTACATGTTCAGTTAGTGTAGCTTAGATAAGTAGGAGAATGAGGAATTAATGCAAGTCAATTCTGCTGAAGTGAAAATAATTTGTGATGACTTCATACTACTGTAAGTAGTCAGGTACGAATGTATACGTTTATTTTCATCGGTTTAGTATCAGTCCTGTCAATCAAATCAGAACACAAAAATCCCACAGTTTTCCACTACTAACAAGAATCCCCTTGAATTTCCAGCTGACAATTTCAAGGATTATCAGCTAGGTTAGTGAGTCCTGTGTCTTGTCATCCAACTACTTCAAAACATGTCATAATGTCAAACAAGGCAGTATTTCAATAGAAACAGGTCACTCTGACTCAATGAATATCATGAAAACAGTGGATTTTTGGTATATATTAGGCGTATTTTTATCTTTCGGAATGTCATTGTGACACTGACGGTGAATTCTAAGTAAACTCAAAGTATTTCTCATATTTTTTCACTCGGCGTTCTTGATATCACACTAGTGGAGCGAGGGTCCAAGTTGGAATGAGTGCTAACTAAGATTCCCTTTTATAAATTTAAACAACAAAAGGAAGAAGAAACATTGGCTGAGAATAATCTGGATCCATTTTATTCCGTTGGTTCTCATCAGATGCCTACAACCTGAATACTTTAATAAATAAAATTATGTATCTTGTTGGAGAAACATTTCTTGAGGAAAATTAATGAACAGTTGTGTTGACGGGGAGGTAACAAGAGAAAATTAGTAAAAGTTAGGTAATTAGATAAGAGAAAATCAAAACTTTAAAATTTCCGTGAACATTTAACAAGGAGCCTCCGGTTACATGGACCGAATTGTTTATTCTCTCAGTCGCGAAACACCTGATTGACACGGGACACCGAGTAGATGTACTGGAATCATTCAAAATAATTAACAGACAAAGTATCTGCGGGAGCAGTTACATTGGAAGAACAGAAAGAAGGGCATATTTACGATTTTCTGAACACGTACCAAAAAGCTTACGTCAAAAGGGAACAAATGCTTTAAACAGTGCCATCGCCAGGCATCTCCTCGACACGGATCATGAGGTGGACGTCGAAAAGTTGTTCAAAATTATCAATAGGCGATTCTCCTTAAGTTTGCTGAAGCGATTTCTATCAAACGCTTGAAACCAGATCTATGTGTTCAGAAAGAAGCAGTTATTCGTCTTTCTTTGCCTTGGTAACTGGGTGCCTTTTTTTCTCTCATCTGATAACGTAATCTTTGTCTTCAACCTCACCCTCCCTTTTATAATCTGTAATTTTGCTTGTCTCTTGTTTCTATGATTTGAGCTCAACTCAGTACATTGTTACCTAACTTACTAGTCACTATGCATCTAACGCACATCTCATCTTTATTATGGAACTCCTTTACCATTTTCTGCATACATTTATTTTGTTTTAACTTGAACTGCCTATGTGAAAACTATATAAGCGCAATTTTCTGAGCACTGTTTACAAATTGTGAGAATTTCTGTCAACTGACAACATGTAAAATTTGCAAATATGTTAAAACATGTCTGTACTTAAACCTCATAATTTATTTAGGCTGTAAGCAGCAGATGAGTAGCCAACGAAATAAATGATGGTACCATATTATTCTGCTAAAACTGTAGTTCTTGCTTTGTTCAAATTCATTAAGGGGAATAAATGTATGAAATCTTCGTGTATTGTTGACAATTTATACTTAGGGTTTTCCACAGGAGTTCCAAAGTCCCCTAAACACATCGGCCTTCATCATCACCAACATCGTCATCGTCAGCTCACCAATGAATGATTTAGACAGTGTAACACTAGACGATCCATTTTATGATAACTAGAAATTTTTCCTACCACTCGGACACACGTGAGCGGTTGCCAATCTTTGTGATTAACACGCCAATGAATAATAATCTATTACCAAAACAGCACACTTGATGTGTGAACACGAAACGTTACTTCTTTAACTTGTATAACAACCGAATACCAGTGTACTTTATGAATCTCGGTGGGTGCGTACTGCTGAAGAGTCCCAAACTAGGACGAAACATCTGTCCAGTACTCTCGGGTTTTCCAATGGTTCCTTAAATAATGTCAGCTCATGATGAAATCCTGGAACCAATCAAATCCCTACAAAACATCACTTGAATACTTTATGACGATTGTTGATTAGACATGCAACTAGTCTGCCATCTTGTAACCAATCTACAGCTCAGTTAAGCTTACAGATGCCTACACAAATTTTACTTAGTTGTATTGGAGATAGTTATGATTTGTTCAATAGGCTGCCTACATTTTTTATATTATGTGTGGAGTTCAGATGTCAGTTGACCACAGAGAAGGAGAGAGAGAGAGAGAGACAGAATTTTAGACATTGTGTGAATTGATCAGTGTATGTTTCACACTGTGTAAGTGAATAGTGTTGCTGCATTTGTGCATGGATTAGCTTCATCAGTCTAGGGAGTGATATACTTCTATCGATTACTTGGAGTGTTCTGATCATTAGATCAAATGAATTCACATATCCCTAACAATGACCGGATGCCTCATTATTAGTGATACTACTCTGAGGGTGACAAGAAAGTATTTCGACTCAGATTGATCCGATGTCTTAATGACTTTAGTCAGTCTGCGTTTTGCTCATGTTTACAAAAGTAATCTAAACTTCCTGTGAACAACATTCGAAAAGCAACTGGAGTATCTATCGTTTCATCACTTCCTTCTCTATCTCAGCCAGTCACCTAGCTTACCTTACCTTCCGCCACTGCAATCAATAATGCAAGACGTGAATATGTGGTAATCTCTTGGTTAGATTTATTATTTTCAGTGTGGAAAAATATCTCTATTTAAACATTTACAATACAGAAGGATTAGGCAAAGAAATATTTTCTTTTCAATTAGAATCTCTTCTATGGATTTATTCTAAGTATTACACAGTGTGCTTAATACAATAAAACAAATATTACCAATCTAGTCGTGATACGTTTCTAAGCAATAACATTTACGTAAGTGATAGTTCACAAGTAATCAACTTCCCTACCTAGTTAATTCTATTCATTCAGTATTTATTGCTTTTAATTGAGGAAGCTAATATGTGAAATGCTTCCATATAATTAAAGATTATACTCACTGTGCTTACGAATGTGAAGACAGTAAATATTGACTTCATCTATATCCTA